CAATCCTAGGAGGTGAGAGCATTAAAATTCGGAATGCATTGTTGGACCACCCTAAGCACAAACATATACTCATAAAGAAAACATAATTGAGTGAGAAATAATGATGTGATTTGCAATAAATGTAATTAGCTATTAAAATATGTTCTATAAATCCTAACAATTCCAAATATATATAAATTGTTATAAAATGGAATCGCCACCACTGCATTTTTTCACTCGTGTATATAAATTCAGTTTCAACAAAATTCAAGTGAAATACATACAAATATATTTTAAAGCTTAATATTTCTCACATTCTTCTAGGTGATATAGTCTGTAGGTATATATTTTAAATATAGACAAAAATTATGTGTATGCAAAAAAATTTTAGTACTTCGAATAGAGGAGGAAATTGAGGAATAAGGCTAACAAATTGTGGGTTTTATCTGTGGGAAGAATTTAGCTAAATTCAGATATTTTTATTTTTTTTTTTATTTGATTAGAAATATTTGCATGTATGTACATATGTGTATGTACAAACTGATGTGCGGGTAAGTGGACATAAATTCGTACTAAATAGTTTCAGCAAATAGAATGGGGGGAAATATGGCATGTGTATATATTTCGCTTTATACAACTACATACTTACATAGTTGCTTACTGCTAGTGGACTTAAAAAATACAACTACAATTTTATACTTACATATTTACAAATGTACAAAGTGGTTAATGCAAAGTTAGTGAGATGAATTCAAAACCAAATCTCATATTTTCACTTACAATATTATGGACTTATGTATACGTACGTGCAGGTATTAAAACTTTTTCATATGCACATTCGGTATTTACTTTGTGAAATTTGGGATTTTGAAGAATATCTAGTATGCATACGGGATTTTTCGGGTATTAATCAGGCACAGTAATTATTAAGTTAAGATTTTTTCTTTGGAGTATCAAGAAAAGTTCAGGTTTTAGGAAAGCAGTGATGACAACTCGGTGAAAGCAAAGTAGTACTAGTGGAGCATAATGTGATTACTTTTCTTTCTAGATTTAAGAATTTTTTTAAAGCACTACTAAATTTATAAGTGTATACATATCTTTGGCATTTAATTAAAACAACTTAAGTTAGTTTAGAAGCTTTGACTTTGAATTAAAAAATAAAAAGTTTCGCTGGAAAAAATTAATATTTTGTTTAGTTCATAGTTAATGGGCATCTCTTACTACACCTATTAAAAGAGGAAAATTTTCCCTTCAAAAATTTAATATTTTTATCAAGCTGGGTTAAAAGAGCGTATTAAACTACGCCCATGGCTAGGCAATCGTTAAAATATTGTTTCGGAACGTAATGAAATACTGCTTTAAATTGAAAATGGCCTAACTCGCGATAAGCTGTCTATTGAATTATATTAATTTGAAAGAATTTTCTTGAAAATAATATTCTGTCTAGTAATTTCTAGAGCCGAATTTTGGAGAGGCGGTGCACCTAAATTTCTATGCAATCCTTTTTCAGATTTATTAAAATAAATCTTTTTACATAATTTTTAAGGCATATAAATCCTTATTTCAGAACATATAGAATATTTAAATCGAATAAAAAATAGTAATTCAAACGAGATAAAACTACAAACCCAATTTTCCTACCTAAAATGACAAGTCGCGGCCTCTAACTTATAAATCTTTAAAAATTATGGGGTAGGGTCTTGAAATTTAATATTTTTTTTTCGATGGGAACCCTAATAGACATTAATATGTAAATACATAGAAAACATTGATAAGCAATATATATAGACCAGAACAAATATCTTGTCACTCAATTTGCACGTGAGATTGCATTTTTTGCCATTACTTTGGCAATTTTATTATTTTCTTGTCTATCTGTGCTACACAACTCCCTACTCGCGATAGCTTGCACAGGTTATATTTACAAAAAACTTTTCCAACAACTTAAGCTCTTTACTGTGTGCAAGCGTATGTGCTATTCCATCATAACTACTGGCTGCAGACAAACAAGCAAACAAAGAACTTAGTAAAAAGCAGGACAGCAGTAAAAAAAGGCAGTGCAAAACAAAATACCTAAAACCACTGCAGATTTATGTAAGTATTTCACTAGTTATACCTCGAAGTATGTATACGAGTATATGTACATACATGTACTTATGTATGCATAAGTAAGTACACAATAAAATAGGTAAGAACTTTTTCGCAAAATGCGAAAACTTTAGTGATTTACTTTTGCTTCTTAGCTCCGGTACTTTTTCAGTGCTACTCTGACTGCCACTCCTACCGCCCCCGCTACCAGCAATTGTTTCTGTGTATAAGTTTTAAGTGCCACCAACTCTACGTCACTTTTTCCTTGCTTTAGTATTTGTCTTTTACTTTTGTCTTTAGAAAGTGGTGTACTACAAAATTTGTTCATACTTTTTTTGGCAAATTATTTCAGCGATGGAATACGCATTGCATGGTACAAGGTCTACACTTTAGTTTGTCGCCTAGTGTATGTTGTCATATTTATACGTAGGTATGTAAATATTTGCAAAGAACTTTAGATGCTTGCCGATAGAAAAAAACGCTTAAACATTTTACCCTACGACTCACGAAATGTTTCAATACTAAGGCGAACTCCTGTTAGATCAATCACGGCGACTTTGTGATCAATAACCAAAATATACTTAAATTATGTAGGCAACATTTTACCACTCTGTTAAATGGTAGCAGCACTAACCCGAGTCGCCAGTCAATTTCGACTAAATTAATGTCTCTTACCGCCCGAATTCGACGAGGTATGAATAGCAATTACGCGGCTGAAAAACAGCAAGGCTGTTGCCGCTGATGGCCTGCCAGCCGAGCTATTCAAGTATGGCGGTGAAGATGGTGCATGCATAAACTCTTATGTAGAATGTGGTCAGATGACTTCATGCCTAATCCACAAGGAAGATAACCCCTCCATACGCTCCAACTGACGTAGGATCAGCATTCTCAGCCTAAGTTACATGGTCTTATCGAGCGTATTGTGTGAAGGATTGAATATCATCTGAAATCATCAATCAACTGATCAGTGTGGCTTTAGACATCGCAAATTCACACTAGAAAAAATATAGTATAACCCAAATACGGGTAAATACTCGCGGGAATAGAATCTATGCAAACCAGCTAATCGATGATCTGAAAGCCACTTTCGACAGAGCTTGACCATACTACCATACCACCAGCTCATGCAGAATCGGGAAAAAGAACCTATCCGAGCAGTTTGATAACAAACAAGATTTCAGACAGGCCGACTTCCTTTCGTTAAGTTTTTCAACAAAATACAAAAGTGTATAAAGAGAAGCGAAGTGCGTGGGTATGGCGCCGAATGAGGATAAAACGAAGTATCTCCTGTTATCATGCCAACAGCCGGAGCATACTCAACTCGGCACTCACGTCACTTTTGGTTTGTATGGAGAAAATAAGCAACACCTTGCGCAACAAAAAACAAATGAAAAAAAAATAAAAAATAAACGGAAAGTCCCACCTATTTTTTTACTTGTAGTTTATTCAACTAAAATTTAATGGGTTACAAAAGTGCACACTCAGAGTTATTCTAAGAAGCTTTAGTAATAAGCTAAAAAATTTGATGAAACTTTGTAGAATTTTCCAAATTTTTGTACAAAGTTTGAAACGAGCTACACTTACATAAAAAATAATAAACGTTAAATAAACGAAAGGGAAACGATAGGCAAAGAATGATTAAATGTCCCTTCCATATTTATACACCAATGTACCTATAAACGCAATATAATAATTTCATAACAAATTTCAACGAAACCCTTCAAGAGACCTATAAGTCGAACTGAAATTTTGGTCGTGTGTAGATAAGTTGTTTTTTTTTTTTTTTTTAAATCAAAACAAAATTATAATAATATTTGGAGGTCGCTTAAAGCGATCAAAGTTTTCCTTGTATTTTATACAGGAAAAAACAAGAAATGGTATGGAACTCTTGAAAATAAATATTTTCGATCGGAAAACTTCGCAATGGGGGACCCTTTTGGGGTTTTTAGGGGTCCCATAAAAAATAGTTAGTAATAGAAAATGGTTAAATAAATAATTGGGTATTTTTATTGGAAGTCTCCTTAAGAGAAGCAAAGTTTTCCGATAGAAAAATAATGATTTTAAAGAATTCTATACCACATCTACGAAAACATGTTTTTTCCAATATAAAATGCATTAAAAACTCTAAATATTTTTTTTTATTTCCAAATAAAAAGCAGGGGTAGTGTAGATATTGTTTTTTTTTAGTTTTTTTTCTTAATTTTTAAATGCCAAAGTGCATAAACATACTTATCATTTATTTGGACTTGTTCAATTAGGTACATATGTAAGTGAATAATTGTGTTAATCAAACGTGACAAGAATCTTTTCCGAAAGATTCATTTTATATACGAGTGCATGTAAATATATATGCACGAATAGAATTGAAAAAAAATAATGTCTCAATGACACGTAAAATTGAATTAATATTATACAAGGACAGGGAAGCATTTGTGTTGTAATTTCTCAGGAAGTGACAGGTAAAAATGACAACAGGGAGGTGGGTTCTTTTTAAAGTTTCGATTTATTTTTAAAATTTTTTAGGAATGTTTGGATAGTTCGAGAAATGATTATACAGATTTCGGAAGTAAGTAACATTGAAACATTTAGATATTTTGAAATTTTCTGCAGTTGGCGGACGGTTACAATTTGCATCTACAGCTAATAAAATCACTAATGGGTGACTATGAATTAAATGCATTAAATAACTATGTAATGTAATGTGGGGCGTGGGTTGCATTGCTACATAGTTTAAAATACTAACATGAATATAAAAATGTCGGTGCTAATGAAAGGTTCACACACCTAAGTACTGGAGTTAAATACATTTATGAAACATGAGTGCAATTTAAAATTCACAAACGCAATTGCTACGAGTAGTTAGCACAAGTACAGCAGCAGGTAAGCTTTTGTTGGGTTATTATTAAAATTTGTTTTTTTTTTAATATTTTTACCTTAAGGTCAAAACAGTTGAGACGGCGTGATACATTTGATTTGGACGTGGTTGACTGGGTGTTAAGATTTTGCAATAAACGATTTGCCGATTGGATAATGAAATTTTCACGTATGATAAAAATATTTATTTCGGTTAATTAAATTACTTTTGGCGATTGAAGCGATGATAATAAAAAATGCATAACAATTTAATTTAATTTGATAAATTGATGTGTAAAAATATATCTACTTTTTTAGTAAGTGTTGAAGTCAAATGCATATTTGTTAAAAGATAAGGTACTTAGTGCTTAAAGCTATCATAATTTTAAACTACATATAAGAATAAGTGAGCTTTAATTTACTTATCACGGTATAAAACATATTAGTATTAGTATTTAAAAACTTTCAATTGCTAAATTTTAGTCTTAAAATATCTTAGATTTTTTTTTAATAACAATGATTTAGTTAAAAGGTAAAAGTTTCATCATCGAATTTTTTACGTCCGTGCTTTCCCTATTCTATGCTAGTATTATAGCAGTCATAAGAACATCGTCATATCCCGGCTGGAAGTTCCCTATGAAACGTCCTTACATCGTACTTCGTCTAGTGCCTGACTAAATTTCCTGAAATAATATTTTCATGGTAGTACCGAAACAGGCTCTAGCTATGATAAACTACAGTTTAAAAAAATTTTCTGGAGCTAAACAAGTTTCCTTAACCCAAACCTGAATTACCGGAATCTACATCGGTCCTTGTTTAGAAAATCTGTACTCAGATAATCAGTGGCTCTGTTCATTAGCACCCCCGGACTAGATCTAAGACGTAAAATCTTGATTCAATTAACATATGGGTATTTCCAAACTGGCGTTACGTGACACTCGTACGACGAAATGTAAAAAGAAATATTGAAAAGGTCCAAATTTTAACTTTTACTTTTATTTTGACATCAGCGCCACCAGCGGTTCCATTTTTCGCAAATTTTGTGTCTTACTACGCTTCAACTAAATATGCCAAATCTGAAACAAAACAGAGCATAAATACGGTTTTTAAAAATACCTCGCCCTTGCGGCCACCGAACGAAACCAGTTTTGTCAAAAAATGTTTCTACTTACTTAACCAATATACATGCAAGTTAGATATTGGACTTTTATTTTATTTTTTGCGGCAGACTATTCGCTGTAATCGCCCATATGCTGTGTATTTTATCACAGGAAGATGGCAGCGTTAATCCGCGCAGTTGATCCGATAAAAAATTGTGTTCAGTATAGGGAATTAGGCGAGTCGCGAGGTTCTGGCAATGAATCCAACGGAGAGAGTAATTTTTGTTTAATTTTGTTTTATATTTTTTTACTTAATTTTTTTGCGTAATTATTTCTAGTAGTTTTGGCCTAATTCAATCTAATCTCATCTCACATAATCCAACATAACCTAAATACTCACTCATTACATCCCAGGTGCTAGGAAAATTAAGCTACTCGGTTATGAAGTTAATTACGGTTATTAGTTTTGATGAGTACTGTACTTATTTGGTACTATGTAGGTATTTTTAAATATACACATTTGTGAAACTTATCGAAAAAAGTTTGCCTTATATGTATTATCCCATTTCATTGTTGCTTCAATGAAGCTTAGCGGAATATCTGTTTATTGGAACATTTTGCAGTTACACCTATCAAATTAACCTAACTAATAAACCGTAATTAAAAGTGAAAGTACATAAGTAAGTCAATTAGTTAATGGTGCTTAAGTGGATACAATGCTTGCCAGTTTATTAGCTGACCTGCTATCGGTTGTTGCATAGACATACAAATATATACAAGCACATGTGTATGTTTATACACGAGTAGATACATTAGCTAAGTTTGTGTATACATTTGTGTAGACATGACACAAGTATGAGGTGAATGTCGCGTGCGGCCTGAAATAACCAATCTCCAGTAAGATACTCGTACGCGTATTTAGATAAGTATATTGGGGTGGTCACCAAAAATATGAACATACATACTTATGTTCGATGTACAAAATGAGGGATTTAATTAAAATTTTATAAATTAGGTATATTTTTGAAAATTATTCACATACAGTGGTGGAAAAACGTTGTTCAACAACTTACAATTTACGCTTTATTCTACAAAATTTTAATGGGCTTTAAAACTGCGTACTCAAAAAAATTCTAAAAAATCTGAATAAAAAGTTGAAAATTTAGATGCAATTTGGCAAAATTTTTATAATTTTTGCATAAAGCTTGAAATATGAATTAATATGCTTTTGTTGGACAATGGGCTATACTTATATAAAATAAAATAATAAATACTAGATAAACGAAAGAAAAAGTTTGTAAAAATGTCGGGTCGCTATATATCGACCCCCNCCCCCCCCCCCCCTGAAATTCATATTCATGAAATTCATAGCCGCATTTTTTTAATTTTCCTAAGTTCTTAATAGCACTGGTTAGGCACAGGCAAGAGCTAGCATGAACCTTCTCAGCTCAAAACGCATTTTTACTTTTTTGTTTGTGCAGGTTTTGAGATAATGGAGTTTTTAAGTTTCTTTCGGGCTAAGATTTTATTCAAAACTAAACTGATAAGTTAACCGCCATTAAACGACAAAACATGCTGAGTGATAAATGGTGAAAGAAAAATTTTTTCCAAAGTTTTACTATTTTTACAAAAAAAATTAAATATTCTTCAAACTCCAAAAATAATAAACAATTTAGAATTATTCGTCGATATCTTTATTTTGTACGTATAACAGCATAAATAGTGTGCTACTGAAAATTTAGATGTTGCTATTTTAAGGACCACCCGAATTATAGGTACACATATGTGCGGTTATACATATAGCAGCCTAAATCATAAATAGTCACAACTCAAAAAGTCTTAAATGTTCAGAAGAGGTAAACAACTTTTGAAGCTGCGCGAAGGGCACAAGCAAAGAAAAAATAAGTTTTAATAGAATTTTAACACTTAAAGAAGATAGTGGTGAAAAAGAAATTTAACGGACGTTAGTCATCTGGTATGTCAACTGCTTTATGTGACAAATTAATTTTGAAAATTTTTGAGTTGTAACGGTTTTTGAAATAGGGTACGATATGTGCATTGATAAGGGTTGAAACTATCTTAAAATGTGGAAGAAGAGTCATTTGTATAGTTTCATTGAAGCACGTTGAGGTTGAATTTATGCTGAATTTTTGTTATCGTTTTATTAAAGTGATAATTTTTCTAAAAGATTTTTTTTAAGGGAGAAAATTTAAAAATTATTCACTACTTTTAGGCCGCATTCTTATTCAAAAACAAGTAATTTTTAAGCAAAAAACAAAACAACAAAAAATTCTTAATGATGCAACGACCGGATCTAAACCAAATTAGTATGAGACTAACCCCGAGGTACCATCTTTCCTCTAAACAGAGAATTATTGGGGTTGGTTAACATGGTCCAAAGTTATGCGGTAACAAACAAACAAACAAAAATATTCCCTCATATTGACAACCTCTTTCTTTTTTTGAAGTCGGTTAATGAATTTTTAATACGTCTACACTTTCAAAAATATTTTACGTTATTTATCAACGCCCGCCGTTCAAACCACCCAACCCAATTGCATATTCGACGTTTTAATTCCCATGCTAATTTACAACTCAATTCGCTACAACCTCGCTTACTAATGCCTGCAATGTGCGGTCAGCTGCAATTTGTCACTTTAGGGTTTACCTGTCGTATACGTAACATTAAGCGCGCTCACTCTGTAAGCCGTGAAATACGCACAAACATATTTACGTATGTATTAGTGAATAACTTTGCGTCAAATTGCCGATTTACTCGACCTTAAACCGCATACATAGTACAAGGGTCTAACGATTCAGTCAATTTTAAGTGTGAATTTATGTAACACCAACAACAAAAACAACTGTGTTGGTTTGCTGATTTGCATTTGCTTTGCAGAAGTTGACAGCCGTCACTTTTGTTACACGCTATAATTTATTGACTCCATTGCGAATAGGTCAATTTTAATGCATCTCGCCACTACCCCTTTCGTGCAATCAAAATATCTTTAGCGTGGTTTGTTTTTCATTGAATTAAGTGGCGTTTAACACGCAAACTTCACTAATCTGCTGCTCACATTCTTTCTAACTCAACGGGGTTGCCATAATAAGTAAGTATATTTACTAAAAACCATAGGTGAAAGCTTGTAATTGATTTCTATAGTGCCGAGAGTAACAGGCTTTAATAAAAATTCAAAAAATTTACACAGAATCTGTTATTTTTTAAATTTTTCTCCTGTAAAAATTTGATTTTCTTTACTTTTTTCATAAAAAAATAAAATAAAATATGTAATAATTAATTAATTTCGCAGAAGTTATTACTGGCAATTTCACAAAAGCAATTTAAGTGAAAAATTATTTTAATATTTTGAATTTTGTATGGAATTTGGCAAACAATAAAAAAAAATCATTTTCCATTTAAATTGCTGGTGAAACCGGCTGTTAGTCCTATCGAAAAGTGGTGTAAATATGGTTTTTATCAGGGTTCGTATTTGCACACACATGCGCAGCACATCCTAACATTTTACGCTCACACACATGTGCTGTGCATATAAAAAATTAAAAACTTGCTCAAATCACATGTGTGTGCTGTTTGGTAAAAAGCCCGGGCACATGTGTGTACTTTATTTTTATTAATATAAAGCACACGCACATGTGTGTGCTTTGCGTAGAGAAACTTATACACTTCGATTTCTATCTCAAATCTTAAAATAATTTTTTAATATATTTTCTGTCATATAAAAAACAAACAACAGCTCACTTGTTATTGAATTGTCTTTCAAAAAATAACGTTTAATAAACAAATTCTTTTAAAAATATATTATGTGCATGTGCATGGGCTGAAATTTGTACAAAAATCGGCTCACACACATGCACATGTGCATGTGCTTAATAACAAACAGCACACACTTTTCTGTGAGCAGAGTTTGTTTTCCACTTATGCACACACATGTGTATGAGCAGTGAGTACAAGTTGAATGTGTTTCTGGCGTGTGTGTGAGCAGAGCATGTGTGTGCAAATACGAACCCTGGTT